GGGCCCCTCCAGGAGGAAGCTCCCGGCCCTTGAAGGGCATGCACAGTGCCTTTTTCTCTCGCTCGCTGCTGGGTTTGGGGAGTGTTCCTGTAGCCTCCTCTGCCTCTGTTTCTCTGCCCTCCAGTTGGGTGGTGGTGAGGATATGCTGTTTTATGATAAGGAGGGTGGTGGTGAGGATATGTTGTTTTACGAGGGGCCGTCGATAAGGAGGAACGCCAGATGTGGGTGAGCGCCAGCATGGGCCTGTGTTGTGTGAGCAACTGGCCATCTAAGTGTGGAAGATACTAAAAACAGGTGTTTGTGGGCCAGAGGGCATTTTGTGAGGGAAGAGTAATGGAAAAGGAAAGCAAGCGATCCCTGAAACATTTCTGCCAGACAAGACACTTCAAAATTTCTAGTGCAATCTTTCAAACGTACTGAAAAGGCAAAGTAGAATTAAATGAACACCTGTGTCCCCAACACCCTGGTTTTTTTAAAAGATTGTATTTATTTATTTGACTCAGAGAACAAGAGAGCACAAGCAGGGGGAACAGTAGAGGGAGAGGGAGAAGCAGGCTCCCTACTCCACAGGGAGCCCTACGTGGGGCTCGATCCCAGGACCCTGGGATCATGACCTGAGCTGAAGGCAGATAGATGCCTAACTGACTGAGCCACCCAGGTGCTCCCCACAAATGCTGTTTTAAAAATCACATTACCGGGGTGCCTGGGTGGCTCAGTTGGTTGAGTAGCTGACTTGATTTCTGCTCAGGTCATGATCTTGGGGTCGCAAGATCGAGCCCCATGTCAGGTTCTGCACTCAGCAGGGAGTCTGCTCTGCAGGACTGCGGGAGATTCTCTCTCTCTCTCTCTCTCTCTCTCTGCCCCTCCCTCCGCTCGCTCGCTCTCTCTCACAAATAAATAAATAAATCTTTTTAAAAAAATCACATTGCCTATTGTCATATTATTATAACTATATTGTATTTAATAATAATCTATTTTATTAATAATGTATTATAGTAATGATATAACTATAACTATACCTAATAATACTGTATTGTATACTTGAGAGTTGCTGAGAGAGTAGATCTTAAAAGTTCTCATCACAAGAAAAAAGATTTGTAACTGTGTGCCGATGTATGTCAACTAGACTTACTGTGGTGATCATTTTACAATGTATATAAATCTTAAATCATTATTTTGTACACCTGAAACTAATTCAATGTTATATGCCAGTTTTACCTCAATTAAAAAAAAATCATGTTTCCATTTTGCCTTATTTGCTTTAGATTTTTAAAATAAAATGTTACCAGATATCATTAGAAGTTCACAGTATATACCCCTTCCCGAATTCTCTCCTTTTCCCCTCTCTCTGGAGGCATCTACTGTCCTGAACTTACTTTGCTCCCACATTACCATATTTGTGATATTTATCCATCTTGACTCTGGTTCGTTGATTTTGGGGGCTTTTTTTTTTTTGGTTGATTGACTTTTTACTACTGTCTATCAGGGGTTGGCAAACTATGGCTCCTGGGTCAAATTTGACCTACCACCTGTTTTTATAAGTAAAGTTTTATTGGGACACAGCCATGCCCTCTGTTTATGGATTTTCTATGGCTGCTTTGCATTACAACGGCAGAAGTTGAGTAGTCCTGACAGAGACAAAGGCAGAATGGTTAGCAAAGCCTTAGATATTTATGAACTGGCCCTTTATAGAAAAAGTTAGCCACCTGCTGTTGTAGAATTCTGTTGTACCAATGTAGCACAGTGTACCTATTCTCTTGTGGGTGAACATTTGGGTCATTTCTCATTTTTTTATTTTACAAACAGTGCTTCAGTAAACATTTTTGTTTTTTCAGGATTCTCCCTGGAGTGTGTAGCTGGAAGCGAAATTGCTGGGCTGGAGAGCATGGGCACCTTTTTATTGGATATTACTAAATTGGTCTCTGAGGTCGATCTACCAGTTTGCACTCCCACTGATGGTCTCTGAGACCTTCTCTCCCTCCACATCCTTGCCAACAGCCTGGTATTTTAAGACCTTAAGTTTGGCCAGTGTGCTGTGGTCAAAGTGGTGCTTCATTACCGATGACAGTCAACATTTTTTCCAGTTGTTATGGACCATCTGCCATTCCTCTTGTGGCAGTTGCCTGATCGTGTCCTTTGCCCATTTTCCTACTGAGTTGTTTGTCTTTTTCCTCTTGTGTTGTGAGAGATCTTTATATAACCTGGCTACTAGTCCGCTTGGTTATATGCATTAAAGCCAGTCTGTGACTTGGTTTTCAGTCAGTCTGGATTCTTTATTGGAACTGTGTTTTAAGGTATCGTCAATATTAGTTCATCTTGAAGATGTGTGTGATCTGTCGATACACGTCCATGCACACACACACATATGTATACGTGTGAACATATGTGCATGCACGTACACAGATGACTTCTTTTCCGTGCGTAAGTTTGTAGGGTTGAAAGGGTGTGAGGCTGAAGAAAAGTAAGTAGATGCCAGCCCTGTCAGCAAGGTTGATTCAGCACAGATCCCCCACCAGGGTGTTCACGTACTCGTGCAACCGCCCCATCTTGGAGCAATTAGAGCGCCTTTCCGAGGCTGTCTGTCGGAGTGAGCTGATTGCTCCTGACACTTTGGCTGCAAACACATGACCCACAAGGTCCCAGGGAAGCTGAAGGCCACCACCACTGGATGCCGAAGGGTTTGGAGGGCTGCCTTGGACAGAAACCAAACGAGATTTGTGGTTTGAGCTTCCCCATTTTGGTTTTGGCTGAAATCAGACCTTGGTTTCATTCTGATCAAGTTGAACTGTCCTCTGGCCCACAGCAATTGAAATAATTAAAACTTATATTTTCAGGCCAGACTACTTTTGGGTGACTTTACACTGATCCATTATCTTTTTTAAAACTGAGAGCACTGGCTTCCTCCATCCCTCTGCCTCCTCTGACCTTTCAAGTCAAACTTTCTGAGTTAAATAGTTAAAGATATTAAAAAAGAAAAAAACCAAAAACCTCTGCAGTCCTTTGGGTTTATGAAGCCCTGTGAAGTCTTCAGCCCTTGCAGCCTTAATCTGTGTGTATTTTAACAATAGCTCAGATGTAATACAAATGCCATCTTGCAGTTGAAGTCCACCAAGGGACATCACAGCTGACTTGTCCCTGTTACCATCGCAATCCCCATGCTGGGCCTGGCACCCCGATCTGGTGCTCTTCCTACCACGTGTAATACAGGTGTGGGCTCAGTTCATTCCCCAACATCCAGTATGTCCCCTCCTCATCATCTCCAGTATGGCCTTTGCTGGGAGGGCCATGCTCACGGGACCGAGACAGACATAACTAGGGGAGCATGTCTAACCCTCCCTGAGCATGTGCTGTGAGTCAGATTTTGCACTGCACGTTTGCTCACATGTCATCTCATTTGATGGGCAAATTAATGCTCTAAGCAGGGCTGGCTTCATGGGCCTGTCACCTGCATAGTTATACAGGGCCCAGCTCAGTTTGGAAGGGGCCCTTCTTGAATTTTTAATTTTTGAACAGCTGACCCTACATTTTCAGTTTGCCCTGGGCCCCACAACTTATATAGCCAGTCCCATCTACAGGCAAAGACACCAAGGCTCAAAGAGGTGAAATAATTTGCTCAGGATTACACAGCTCATAACCGGCAGAGCTGGGATTGCACTGATTTCTACTTTGCTACTTCATTTATTGAAAATAGAGCTCTGGAATGAGCCTTATTTGAATTGCATTGCAGGGAACAAGGGAACAAGGTAAATTGTGCTGTGGAAATACTGATCTTCTGTGGAGATTTGCTTGTGTATTGTTAAGTAGCTTTGCGTTGACCTCCCACTGGCCAGTTGCCACCCTCTTCCTTGAGGGGAGTGACCATAGACCTATCATTTCTTTTGAGGTTCTGGAAGTGCCTAGAACAGGGACCCTCACGGGAGTGCTGCTCAGGCTGACCAAGTAGGTTAATGGGCTTCTTTGATTGAAAAGAAATGGAGACCACTGAGTTTACTGTGGTGAGCCATAAAGATACCTGAGGGATTAAGATGCCAGTCCATAGTTATAGAACCAGAGGAATCCAACACAGCTCTTGGACCACCAGATCATCCCATCACTCCCTGGGTAGCAGAGGTTCACAGATTCCCTGACTCAGCTCCTCCTTCTGGCTTTGCTTCTCTGTGTGTCTTATGGTACCAACCATTTCACGCGTGACTCTCTCAGGAGATTCAGGTTTTTGCCTCAGGCCCTTCAGAAGCACCTAGAGGTTAACCATGTGGAGTGAGGCATTGCCTTCTGGCCACATTGGTATGGTTACAGAGCACTGCCTGGTGACTTGGGAGAAGGAGCTTTTAGAATGCAGCAGGGTAAATCTTATCCTGTCCCACTCATTGGCTGGCCAGTTTCCCAGGATGGTCCTTGAGTCAGCCATCTTAGACGATGAGCTCACTTCTTCCTGAGCAGGACACACTCCTGGCAGGAGAAGGTTCTTGGGGTTCCCGTGAACTCACTGCTTCCTGAGCAGGACACACTATGGCTAGAGAAAGTTCTTGGGGTTCCTGTGAGTTCACTGCTTCTTGAGCAGGACAGACTTCTGGCTGGAGAAGGTTCTCAGGGTTCTTGTTAGCTCACTGCTTCCTGAGCAGGACACACTGTGGCTGGAAAAAGTTCTCAGGGTTCCTGTAAGCTCACTGCTTCCTGAGCAGGACACACTCCTGGCAGGAGAAGGTTCTCAGGGTTCCCGTAAGCTCACTGCTTCTTGAGCAGGACACACTGTGGCTGGAGAAGGTTCTCGGGGTTCCCGTGAGCTCACTGCTTCTTGAGCAGGACACGCTGTGGCTGGAGAAGGTTCTCGGGGTTCCCGTGAGCTCCCTGCTTCCTGAGCAGGACACACTCCTGGCTGGAGAAGGTTCTCGGGGTTCCCGTGAGCTCCCTGCTTCCTGAGCAGGACACACTCCTGATTCCGGGAGTTCTGCATGGGACTTGTTGGCTCCCTGGTGACGTGCTCTGTTTTCCCTTCACAGCGGCAAACCCTCTGCTTTGTTCCACCGCCCGCTACCACTGTAAGAATGGCCTCTGCATTGACAAGAGCTTCATTTGCGACGGGCAAAATAACTGTCAAGACAACAGCGACGAGGAGAGCTGTGAAAGCTCTCAAGGTAGGAAGCCTCCAAAGCTTTAAAAAAATAATTGCATCACCACACCACAGAAACACCGAAAGCAACACCTATACCCCCTCCAGATACAACAGCCGTGTTAATGTTTGTACTTTACTTTGCAGCCCCTGTACCCTTGTTTTTACCTCTAACGCACCTACCATTTTGGATTTCGTATTTCTCCCATGTGAAGTATCACATAATACGTTTTCTCTTCAAAACTGTATTTCACCCCGGCTGGGTCGCACATGGTCAGGATGCTCTACTGTGGTTTTCTAAATTGTTGCATTATTGGGGCCCACCTGGATTATTTCCTTCCCTTGCATTACTTCTTCAGGATAAATTCTGCACAGTGGGACATCTGCACAGTTCATGGCTTATACCTCCACATGCAGCTGTTGGAAACAGTTTTTTCTTTTCTTTACACGGGTGCTAGCATTGTCTTTGCCTGTCAGTTTCACCTTCATATCCTGGGCATTCACTGCTGTTCTGTTTTTTCCATTTTTGCTAATTTAGTAGTCATAGAATGATAGCTTCCCAAATGCTTTAATTTGCATTTCTCTGATTATGAGCAGAGTCAACATTTTCCCCCGTGTGTTTGTTTACTACTTTGTTCCCTCTTGTGTGAATTGCCTGCTCCTATCAGGGCTCTTGATCTCAGAGCAATTTTATGGAATCTGAAGGAATGCATTTGGGGGGATGGGAAGGTGAGCTTTTTAGGGAGTCCAGAAGGATACAGCGGGGTCATACCTTCCTCTGTTAAAAGTGACCAGGCACTTTTCTTTACTCATTGACTCTTTTTCTGGTAAACACGTATTTTTTCAGTGATTAAAAATATATATATAAAAAAATGTACATCCATATTAAGGCATCGTAAAAAGTATATATTTCTAATGTTGTAAACTGGTATGATCTGTATGCAGTCACTACTCTTTTCACTTAATATCCTATTGCTGTGATTGACCCACATTATTGTTTGTTGGTAGAGTTCATTTGTTTGGACTGTTACTCAGTGTTCTGCTGTGTGTACCACAGTTTATAGACTGAATAAAATCATAAACCAGAAAAGCAAGAGGAAGTGGGCTAACTGTTTAGCTCGTATGTTGGGAGGCAGGATGGATGGAATAAGCTCAGTGAAGTTACAAGTAGGTCCTTTTCAAAGTCCTAGCATTTATTTTGGCTGATGTTTATTATGTTATTAAAAATAAATGAATGAATGAATGAATGAATGGGTCTTACGTAGGCCACTGGTGTGGGTAGGTCACACATCAGAGATTATGACCAGTCCAAGTCTGTATGCCTGAGGTCCATAGACAAGAAAAGACAAAATGTTTATCAACATAGATTTTGCCAAAACTTGTGCAGAGAACAGCTCTGGGAGGTGAATCTTGGGTAGAATTAACTTCTGATTGTCCTTGTCTGGAAAATCCTCTCCTTGAGTTTTCCTTTTACTAGTGATTCTCAAAGTATAATCCCGAGACCAGTATCACCAGCATCATGTAGGAACTCTTTGGATACACAGAGCTCAGGCTGCATCCCAGACGAACAGAATCAACCCGGGAAGTGAACCCAGCAGTCTGTGTTTTAACAAGTCCTCCAAGTGGTTCAAATACACAGTAATTCTGAGAACCACTGTTTTATACTAACTTTAGAGAGGTTTCTAATCTTGTCATTTGCCTGGGAATTTCTTTTCTTCTCTCTCTCTTTTTTTTTTTTTTTGCTTTTTTAGAGAGAGAGCATGCACAAGTGAGCAGGCGTGGGGGTAGAGGGAGTGGGTGAGAGAGAATCTCAAGCAGGCTCCACATTCAGTGTGGAACCTGATGCAGGGCCTGATCTCACGACGCTGAGATCATGACCTGAGCCAAAATCAAGAGTCAGATGCTTAACTGACTGAGCCACCCAGGCGCCGCTTTCTTTTTTTTAAGAGAGAATGAGAATTCACAAGTGGGGAGGGGTAGAAGGAGAAGGAGAGAGGGAGTCCCAAGCAGGCTCCATGCTCAGGGCAAAGTCTGATGCAGGGCTCGATCTCACCACCCTGAGGTCACGTCCTGCGCTGAAACCAGGAGTCAGACCCTCAACCAACTGAGCCACCCAGGGCACCCCTTGCCTGGGAATTTCTAAACTGCTGATCGAACAGTAAGGTGTTTCTAGCCTTCGCACAAAGTCAAATTTTTATAAACCAAAACACATGCCAGTCTGTCCTCTGGCATCTGCCATCAGCCGTGATGGGTGTCAAGTAGGGAAGAACAGTCACTAAGTCGAGGAAGTATGAGCATAGATAGGAGGGCTGGAGGAACATGTTCTGTAAATACTGTTTCCTGTACAGTTTACTATGTGTTCATGTATCTTAGACTCACCAGTGGTGCCGTGAGATGTTCAGCAAAACGACCCCTAAGTCTAAAACTTGGTTTTGGCAGCATCCCCCTACCCTCCACATGCTTGTCCCTGCATTTTGCTGAAGCAGATTTTTTGCTCACCCTTAAGAACCATCTCTCTGATGGCTAGTTGAAATTTGTATTTCTAAGTCCAGCTCCTTTCTCTCTCTCTCTGCATTGTATTCTCATATTATAAACACGAGGTGTAGAGTAAGTCAGAGGTGGACACATGCACATGAAGCCCAGCTCTTGGCAAATATGTAATTTGAAGCTTCCCTTAGAATCTCAGCTTTGTGCCTTCTGTACCCAAATGACACCCCTGTGGAAAGTGAGCTCTCAGAAAACGAGTCCCATCAGCACGTGGGTGACAGCTGTCTGGTGCCTTTTAGTAAGACAGCCTCCGAGCAAGGGTACCCATTGTGGAGAGGCACTGTTGCTAGTTACCAAAGAACAGGAAGCATGCATTTTCCCCCCTCGAATCCCATAGATCCTACCTAGTAGCACGGGGCCCAGCACAGAGTGGATTCAGTAAGTGCTGTATACTAGAAAAGGTGTCTTTGTAGGGTATTATGTTATGAAACTGTGTTTATTTATTTATTTTTTGAGAAAGAGAGAGGGGGAGAGCAAGCGAGCATGCGAGCGTGAGCAGGGGGGAGGGGCAGAGGGAGAGGGAGAGAGAATCTCACGCTGACTCCACACTCAGTGCAGAGCCCGGTGTGGGGCTGGATCTCACGACTCTGAGATCATGACCTGAGCTGAAATCAAGAGTCAGGCGCTTAACCGACTGAGCCACCTAGGAGCCCCAGGAAGCTGTGTTTATTAATTTGTACCTTATGTCGTATTACAGTGTATATGTGTTTAAGCTTTGCAAGTTCAAGTATACACAATCTATTAATAAGTATTTTGCTGTTGTTTAAATAGAGTAGATGATTCTGTCATTCCCTCAATGGGAATATGCCCCACAGTGAGCATGAGATGAGAATCTGGACCTCCTGGCCCCTTGGTCAGTCTGCAGGGCTGCATTCCTCCTAGGATGTGAGCATCCTCCTGCACTCCGTGTGATTCTAGTACCAAAGGCTATGCTTTTCTCTATCACGTAGCTTCTAAATGTGAACTGGTTCCTAATTTTGGTGCTTGAACAAAGGAATACCATTGTACCAGTGCTGGGGGCAAACCTGACTTGCACTGGGCTTTTGAGAGACTGAGCTTCATGCAATGTCTTCCTGAAGAATTTCAGAGCATCTTGACTAGACAAAATATGGTCTTATACAGCACAGGGTTTGGCCCATTGTCATCCTATTAACAGCGAACATTGATCGAGTCTTACTATGCACCAAACACTGTGCTGAGCACCTTCTGCACATGAGCTCATTTAGTCAGAAAATATCCTATCTGCTTCTGCTGGGCTCCCAGCCCTTGAAAAATGCATCTTTGCTTTCAGTTGATGTGGGAAAAGAAAATTAGATTTTATAATGTTTATTTGGATGGAGTGGAGAGAACTGGCCCAAAGACAGGAAATAGGGTGCTTGAAATACTTTTCTTCTGACTTGATGAGGGTATGAAAAAGCAGTGTCTCCACTTTAAAGACACCAGCTGTGTGCACCTCTCCTCCCCTTCTTGCTCATCCCAATTTAGTCCCCTTCTTTACCCTTGGCCTTTAAAACTAACAACAGACTTGTCAGGACTTGGAAGTAGGAGTGGACCGTGAAAGTGCAACCATTCATTACCATACCTTTCTGTTCCATTTGGGATGTAATAGAGACCAAAGAACACTGTGGTGCAATGGATTTTTAATTGGGGATTCATTGATTGGAAACACAGCCTATTTACCAGGTAATTCCAAAAGCAGGCTTGCATGTGGCTTTTCTGTTTCTTAGGAACACATCTGGGAGTCAGCAGGTACTGCCGGGTAGATGTAGGCTGTGGCCAGCACTCAGGTAGCTTCAAATATGTTGGATTCAATCCTAATTAAACAGATTGATTCTTTTCCACTTTGGATAAATGACCGAATGGGGTAGGCATCCTGCAGTGATCCTTACCCCTGGGTGAAGTTCACACCCTGGTATAATCCCATCCTTTGAATGTGATCAAGACCTTACGACTGGCATGGTTTTTTTTTTTTTAATTGTGGAAAAATACACATAATGTAAATTTACCACCTTAACCATTAAGTGTGTAGTTCCGTGGTGTTAAGTATATTCACGTTGTTGTGCAACCCATCTCCAGAACTTTTTCATCTTGCAAAACTGAAACTCTGTCCCCATTAAACAGCTCCCTGTCCTCCACTCCCACCCCTGACAACCACCATTCAACTTTCTGTTTCTATGAATTTGACTCTATGACAACGCATATAAGTGGATTCGTACGGTATTTGTCATTTTGTGACTGGCTCAGTTCACTTAGAGGAATGTCCTCAAGGTTAATGCATGCTGTAACATGTGTCAGGCTTTCCTTTCTTTTTAATTAAGGCTGAATAATACTCCCATCGTATGTCTGTACCACATTTTGTTTATTCATTCACCCACTGATGGACATTTGAGTTGCTTCTACCTTTTGGCTGCTGTGAACATGGGTGTAGAGATGGCGACTCAGTTTGAGTAAAGAAAGTGCAGCACAGTTGATTGCCAC